ATTAAGGAAGAAAAGCTCTTTTAAACGAGCCCTAGTTTGTTTAAATCGCGTAACCCAAACCAGAGTTATCCTTATTTCAATAAAAGCAAATTTAACCTTCCCCCACCACTTTATTTTATGAGATAGAGCAAAATACTTTATATCAAAAAAATTACAATTTTCTCGATGATTACAATAGTAATATTTAAAATACCTGTTCACCTGCATATTTTTGAGAAAAACCCTTTTTTCTGATTGGCTCTTAGAGAAACGCCCCCTAGCGGGCATTTTTCGAACTTGAAAATAATTTCCAGCTATTTCTCTTGATGGATTTACTTATTAGAATTGTTTTCCCAAAGTTATACGGTAAGTAGTTTCTGAGATACAGCCGGCGTCCATTCTTAGTTAGCCACCCGGTACTTTTTTGACAAACTGTGTACACTAAAAAATTTAGCTATCGATCCACGGCCCAAAATTTTTCAAATTGGAATAAGTGACAAATGCTCGATTTTGGCTGGGAAAATTTTCACAACTTACAGTTTAAATGGGGTGAATATAAGGATTCACTTGCTCTATCTGTAGATGCCCACTGGCGTTTTTAGATAGAATTGTTATTTGTATTCATGGTGGTAAAAAATAAGTGTACCAAACTTATAGTATCTTGGCTGATACTACGGCCACTGATAATCCTACAGATATCCTTATGAACATATATTTGCTGAATAAATACAGTCCTTGAAAGAGTGGATACAAAATAATATTTTGTTTATTTTAAAAGACCTTGGTAAATCATTTTCCTTAAATTTGGTATTCTCACACATATTTTACGCGAAAGTTCATGGCAGATACCCTATGAACATAATATATTTCCTCGATAACAACAGTCCTTGAAAGAGTGGATATAAAATAATATTTTGTTTATTTTTAAGGACCTCGGTAAACCATTTTCCTTGAAAAGCAAAACTAGCCAAGCGAGTCAAAACTAGCCGAGCAAAACAATTAATGACCGAGACCTAAGTAATACGGAAGAGAGAACTAGAAGAAATTAGACCATTATCTCTGTTCATATTATCTTTACATTTATTAATTTGGACGCTCTTATATGCATCTAATTGCCTGTAATTTGAGACCTGTTTAATTCATTTTAAATAATTAATATTTATACAATGATCTTTATCAACAATATGTTGAGCAACGCAAGATTTATCCGGTCTACCAAATCTTATCTAAACCATAATATGTTCTACAAATCTAGTAAATAATGACCTTCTAGTTTGCCCATCATGAGTGTTTTGGTATATTGTGAATAATTAGTGTTTTCTTTTGCTATTGTAAGACAAAAGATTCCAACCCTTAACTGTAATATACAGGGTGGTCCGAACTGTATTCCGGAAACTCCGGCAGCATATTCTGCAGATAAAAATAAGTAAAACAGTTCGTATAAATGTCTGTCCTAAAACGATTAGTTTCGAAGATAGAGCGTGTAGAAGTTACATTTTTATTTGGATTTTTTCCATATAATTTCTGAAGTAACGTCAATATTTGGATGAAAATTAGTGTCTGGGAGTGTTCTGACATGAGAAATTTGATTTTGATGTAAATATTATTCCTATTTGTAGGGCGCGCCACTTACATATGTTTTAACTGTTTCGAAGGTTAATAACTTTGCGACCGTACCTGTATAAAACGACTGAGTAAAAAAATATACATGTCCATGATTTTTTACGTAAAAAAAATGTCTCACGGTAAAAATCGTTACGAGCAACCGTTCTCAAGATATTTAGAATGGAAATAGTCAATACATGTCATTATTAACAAAAAATAAACATGTAATAAAAAATGATATTTACTATTGTACAGAAAATATCGTCATTGTTTAATATACCTAATTCTGATTAGGCTTTTTGCAAAGTGACTGAAAATATATATCATGTAAATATTAAATTAATCGTACATTTTTCTTCGAAAAAATGATGATAAAACAGTTTCTGTTGAACTTTTGACACAAAAACTTTTCAAATTTATGATTTCAGTCTAATAACTATTTAGTCATGATGTTTAATTTGTCAATGATGACAGGTATTGATAATTTCGATTTCAAATATCTGGAGAACCATTACTCGTAGCGATTTTTCCCAAGAGACCTTTTTTACGTAAAAAACGTCGTAAATGTATATTTTTACTCAGTAGTTTTATACAGGTACAGAGCGAAAGTTATTAGCCTTTAAACCAGTTAAAAAATATGTAGGTGGGGCCCTCTACAAGTAGGAGTCATATTGACATCAAAATAAAATTTCTCATGTCAAAAAACTCCCAGACATCAATTTTCATACAAATATTGACGTTACTTCAGAGATTATTTGGAAAAAATCGAAATAAAAATGACTCTTCTACACCCTGTATCTCCGAAACTAAACATTTTAGGACATACATTTATACGAACTTTTTTACTTATTTTTATCTGCAGAATATGCTGCCGAATTTCTGGAATACAGTTCCGACCACCCTGTATTTATGTAATAGAGTACCTAGTAGTGACTATTTGATCAGAATTAAAGTATTGATTCTGAAAGTCTTTTAAATTTTATTGCCACGCGGAAACTCTGAGACGGTCGTAAACGTTTCAAATTTCCGGAAAATATTGGGAACGAGTTTTGTAATTTTTGTTACGCCGACAGACCGCAGAAACGACGAATTTTCCACCGGGTTTGCACCGTAATAAGAAAGCCCGAAAAGCTCCGCGCTGAAAAGACCCAGGCAAGAGAAAATATTGAATTTTCATTACTAGACCACGACTCCTCGAAGATTAGGTTCTGATGTTTTTCTCTTCCTTTCGTTCTTTTTTTTTTCTCATTTCCTGCTTATAAGAATTATGTCTCGTTTCCTTAACGAAATTAATAAAAAAAATGTTTTTCTTGTTTTTTTTTTGTTGATAAACAGCCAGTAATCGAACGCCATTATTTGATAACGTATCCAGTGCCGGTCTGACTAAAAGTAATCAGATTAACGAACACTTTTCGTCGAGTACCTAATCGTACTTGCGAATGTAATCAATTATTGGCGGATAAAACTAGTGATGGGAAAAACCGACAAATTTTAATAATCGAGAACTCGAGTTCCAAGCGATTTCAATAACCGAGTGATCGCTCGAGCGAAATTTCGCTCGTATTTAAATATGCGGTTTTCCGCCATCGCTTGTACTCGTAACGCCAAGCAGTAAGCTGCGTGCGCAGAGCGTATGTTATCCTTTCGATGGTAGTGGCAAGCGACAAGCGACGAGCGCCGAGTAGTTTCGCTTGGCATACATCGAAGCCTTGTCGATATAGGTGGTAAATTTTGTCACACAGTTACGTAACAGATAACGTCGTATACTCCTATAATTAACATAATTAACAATGCAGTCCCAATCAAAAGAACAATCTGTTGTTTGAAGATATTTTACCAAAAATACTGATAAAATATTGCCAATCTGCAATGTATGTAACAAATTCGCTCGATAGGATCGCTTGCGTTCGTCGCTCGTTCATAATCGAGCGATGTCGGTTATTTCAATAATGGAGTACTCGAGCGGATTTTCGCTCGAGTTATCCCATCACTAGATAAAACCGTTATTTTTAAATAACAGTTAAAACCATTACCGCTATTTATACTGGGTGCGTCTCAAAAGTGGTTCACCCCTATAACTTTTTTATATTTTCAGATAAAAAAAAACGAGATTTGGTATGTTAGTATATGACATAAATTAGGATTGAATGACGTATTCAATTGTTTTTGGTCACTTCCTCTTTCACCCGAAATATAATACAACTTTTGATTTTGATTTTTAAATGGCACCCTCGATATTTTGTTACTTTATTCGATAGAAAATGACACTCTAAATAGAATGACCTATCATATGTCAACTTTTCACATTTTAGAATATGGTTTATTTGAAATTGGAACATGCGATTCATAACGACAATTTGACTAGAAATGTCAAGTGTGTGGTACCAAATTATTCGTAAAAAATGTTTTTTCCAAATATGCTAATAAGCCACCCATGTTCCATTTGAAAAATTGGGATATGCTTAAAAACCGATTTGGGCATCTTTTAACTGGCCAGGATAAGACACAAAAAACATTAGATGATCAAATCTATTTTTCTAAGGTTCCTTGATTTTTTCCCAATCAGCTCGATACATTGATGATGTTGCCAGTATTACTCATCAAACAATACTACTGTTATATTAATCAATTAGGGCCGCGTAAACAAACATAACCTATACAATTTTATATACTTACTAATTCATTATAATAAAAGTAAATAATAAAAATGTTGTATTTATATTCCTGCGGATTAAGTGAAAAGTTTTGTTCTTAAATATTTACTCTACATATTATAAACGTGCGTACAAATATTAATCTTGTGGATTATACATATATCAACATAAAACGAGATGTAATTAACAAAATATCATCGTAACAACAGCTATTTTAGAAACGCCTAGGTTTACTTATTTCACTGAGATTTATGAAAAAAATGTCCTTTGCCTCGGGTACAGATACCGTCACGTTTTGGAAATAGCTCAAAATGAAACGAAATTGAACAAGGAAACAGCAAAGGTCAAAAAAAGCCCCCACGTCCACCTCACGAGTAGTTTTCAGGCGCTTTTAAGAATCGAATGTAGGTCGAGACAAACCAAAGTAAGTCAAGACAACTGGGAATAAACCGAAATACGACAAAGTTGGGCGACAAAACGCGACCTTGGCTTGCTTCGAAGAGTTCTCCGCATAGTGTAGAGCGTGTTTAAATACATGTTGTAAACTAACAGATTTATAAGTTAAATAATGGCCCATCCCTTCAGCCAAGTAATTGGTTCCTTGTAACGGACATTTGGAATATTGCTGTTACTATTATCATATTATCTAAGGATCATGTCGCAGTGCACATAGTTAATGTTTGTTTTTCGGTTACACCGATCCATGCGAGTAAGCAATTACTAGTAACAGAAGGTTATAATACTGATATTACGAATACTTACTCTCCAGCTGTTGTTGTGAGGTCTGCCTCTGGTGGTTCTTTGCGTACTAGGGTCACGCTAGCTCCAGTGTGTCTCGGATTAATGTCTACAGTGACGTTCCAGGGCGTGCCGGTGCTGGGAACTGCTTCCAGAAGATGAATACCGCTTTTCACTCTAGCTCTGGAATAAAAAAAATCAATTATAGCAAACGTTGTAAAGTGATTGTGCTTAAAACTCAAACATGAATAAAGTTATTTAATTAAAAGAAGCTCCAACTTTTCTCTTTATTGGAATTTAAACATATTATAATGGATAAGAGAGCCAGAAGTATACATCTGATCAAAGTATATCTTGATCAGATGTGAAATGTAATGAACAAATTTTACAGAATTGAATTTTTGAATAGGTTTCATTCATATACAGTATGTCCCCCGATTGTCTTTAAAAGAGGAAAAACTTTTTTTATTATTGACATTTTAAGAATTGCTGTGGACCCCTAGGGGAATCACTGCTCTAAGCGATACTAATAAAAGTCTCACCTCTTCCATTCAATTGTAAATTTGTTATATTTGAAACGTAATGTAAAATAGAAATACCATACCAAATATTTTTAGTACCCCCTTTAAGCTTGAACTAGTACTGAATATACACACTGTATATATGAATTATAAATTAACGATATTCATTGACTATGACGTTTGCATCCATGGGAATTAGAACTGTCCCAGTTGAATTAGAATTGCCTCTATCATATCTCAATTAGAGGATTGGTTGCATTAAAGTAATAAAAGAATTAATAATTCAGTAATATACTCGTATGTACCGTATAATGTGCATAACAAACAGACTAATTACTGTAATTTTTAATGCTTGGTAATATTATATTGGATAAAGTCATTACAGGTTTGTTGAACCCAGGGTCGTTCAACAAAGTTGAAGAGGTAATATTTTGGCCAACAGTGCAACAAACAATTTAAATGAAATAAAGGAACCTACGTTGTGTTGAAAATAATTTTTTAAAAATATTCAAAGTTGTGTTTTTTCTAATGGACCATCCTATATATTAATTGATTTTATCGGACTCTAGGAAAAAAATAAAGGTGAGTTTTATTAAAGAAGCGTATACCTAAAATATAAGGATTTTGACATATTTCACATTTTGTGAAAATGAAGAGTAAATTTTAAATATCGATAATATAGCTACCTAAATTTTAATTGACCTTATATAGCCTGATATTTAATTACAGTAACCATGGTATGTTCAACAAATTGAAATTTGATCCGAAAAGTTATACAGGGTAAGACAAAATTGATATGGAACATTAGTCACTTCTAAAAGCAATCTTATTTTAAATGGAACACCCAGTATATTTTTCCGATGTTCAATGGGGAATTTATATAACATCTTCAAAGTATTATTAAGGTTGCCCTCAGACAAAGATTTTCCTGAATATTTTAATTTTTATGATTTTGCGTCAGTAGATCTTTATTATTTGAAAAAATCTAGGGTGACTGTGTGATATACCTTTTGTTATGTCTATGGTAATAAAAAGATACACGTTTAAAACATATTTTAATTATTATAGAATTAAAACTAGATATAAACTTATAATTATGTGACAAAAATTAGCTAGATGAAATCAAATGCTCAAAATGCTTCCTTTCCTGTTAACTGCATAAAAGGATTGTCTTTTCAAAAGAATCTTTTCATTTTAAAAGGCATATGTGGAGTTCTACCTCGAAAGCACCTACAATAATTTCTCTCATGTTGTCGACAATAGTTGGTCGAGTTTTGTAAACACTGTCTTTAAGATATCCCCATAAAAAACCCAGACTAGATAAAATCAAGAGAATTTAAGTATTCTATTACTATGCAGTGTGCATTCACCAACTAATACAATCATATCAATTCTTTCTGATGTAGGATAAGTTTGCATTTTCGGCAAATTTCTGAGAATTTTTTTTTGTTTAACTGACACAAAATGATAACTAGTTGTAAAAGCTGGACTAATTAGACAGCTATGTTGAAGTAACGTCAGACATACCACATCCACCCTAGATTTTATCAAATAAGAAAGATCTACTCAGAACAAATCATATAAATGAAAATATGTAGGAAAATATTTGTTTGAGGGGTAGGCAACCTTAATAGTATTTTGAAGAAACATGAACTCTCTATTGAATATCATCGGAATAATATACTGGGTGTTCCATTTAAAATAAAAGGTAACATGCTTTTAAATAAATAGAAAACAAATTTCTTGCAGTAGAGGTATACATATAATAAAATTATATAAGGATTCTTGCCACTTAACTGCTAATATAGACATTTAATTCTACGCTGTGTTTGTCATAATGCGGATCAACCTGCTCTCACTACCGGTTTCGGAGCCCTACTCCATCATCAGGTGAGCTTGGGAGATCCACAAAATGACAACCACAGCGCAGAGATAGTTAATTCCGACTTGTCGGAAAGTATCGGCTAGATATTAAGTACCGAACGGGAGATTATTTTATTATCGTATTACGTACGAGGTATTATATACCTCTACTGCAAGAAATTTGTTTTCTATTTATATAATTTGGCTTACCTGAAAAAAAAGCCTTTTATCATCCTTTTACTATCGATAGTTGCGCCTCGGTGGTACGAAAGTACTACCATTGCACGCAGGCCGCTATCCCCCGTTCGGGACTTAATATCTAACCGATACTTTCCGACAAGTTGGAATTAACTATCTCTGCGCTGTTGTTGTCTTTTTGTGGATCTCCCAAGCTCACCTGATGATGGAGTAGGGCTCCGAAACCGGTAGTGAGAGCAGGTTGATCCGCATTATGACAAACACAGCGTAGAATTAAATTTCTATATTAGCAGCTAAGTGGCAAGAATCCTTATATAATTTTATTATGCTTTTAAATGTGACCAATGTTCAATATTAATTTTGTCTTACCCTGTATAACTTTTTGAATCAAATTTTAATTTGATTTAAAATACAATAGGTAATTTAACTACATATTTTTACTACATATACCGGGTAAATTCCAATTTAGGTAGTTTTTATTGTAATTTAAAAATTGTTCTTTATTTCTAGAAAATGTTAAATATGTCAAAAACCTTACATTTGAGTTATATACTCTTATAAAACTCACCTTTATTTTCTCCCAGAATCCGAAAATCAATTCATATATAGGGTGTTCCATTACAAAAAACACAACTTTGATATTTAACTTTTTTTGGGGATACCCTGTAAAACTCTCTATATTTTTAAAAAGTGCTCTGAATTAACCTACATATGCTCACAAAATTTCATTTCTATACAAACTGTCGTTCTCTTGGAGCCTCCGCGGCGTATGAGAGGCGTAACCCTGTATATTATTTACCTCTCACAATAAATAATACTAGATATACTATACTAAGTAATATCTAAGTTCATTAACTACACCGTTACGTATATTAATAACGCACACAACAATAGTTTACCGTAATATCTCATCCCGTTTAATCTAGTAAAGAAAAGTTTTCAGTTCCTCTGAGTTTCCTCCTCCGAATGTTGGGTAATTTACATTGGACGTATACATCAAAGGGTTAGCCATAAGGTACAGCTCGCAATTCTGGCTTTGGTGGAAACTACAAGCAAAGCCAGGTGTTTTAATGGATGGATCGATAGTGTGGAATGTGTTAAGTTTATGCACATAATTTAATGATAGATATTAAACTAGTCCAGAATATAACATGCAAATTAGACTCGCCATGCAAAGAAAATCAAAGGAAAACATTTTCGTCAAATTTAAAGTGCTATAAATATATCAACTTTAATTCCTAAACTCAGTTTTTTATAAGCCTTTGTATTTGGGTTATTATACAGGGTTAATCAACGGGTTGTTTTTTATCCTAAGTTTAATACACCCTGTGCAATAATTTCCTTGGAAATTTGTTCTAAAACATCATTTTTCTGATGATTTTAGTTTTTGGCGCATATCAACACGTCTTGGTTTATTTTGAGAGCAAAATGAATTTGCTAGGTATTTGGAATATTTTTAATTATCATTAATTTCACAGTCATACAAAAAAGGGGTCTATGCTTTTTACTAGACCATTATATTATCCTATAGTATTTTTCGATGCTGAGCACAAATCCGCTATCAGAATTACGCCATCATATCTCATTTTTTTCTAACCTCAAAAACTTGGTGAAAATCCGTAAAAATTCAGGAAAATATAGTAGGAAAAAAATATAAAAAAGATAATCTTTGACAAGTAGTAAATAAAAGCAAAAATGCAAAAAAATATATACAGGGTGGCGCACCTTATTCGCCCCGGTTGATTATACGAAAACGGAAAGATGTAGAAACAAAATTTTTTATGGGTATATGTAGAGAGACAAGGTGCATAATTTAAAATTATTTTGAAATGTACAGGGTGTGTCAGAACTAAGATCCATACGAAAGTTATATTTTTTTATGGAACACCCCGGTATTTTATTTTGTTTATTGAGTCTTGGGCATAAAATAAGGCAGTTATTATAATGGTTTAATATGTTTAAATGTTTTGGTTTTTGAGATATTTAAAGATATTTAAATATGCATGCTATAATAAAAAAATTGTCAACACCCTGTACATTACTTTTCAAAGTTAATTCTTGTGCTGACTTTGAAGCCAGAGAAATAAACTTTACTAAAAAAATGTATTGCTTTCTTAAATGTATACAGGGTATCAAAAATTACTGGTCAATTTTAAATATTTATTATACATAAAAACTTTGTTATTTCAAATACAACACTATGTATTTTTTTAAATAAGTCGAAGCAGATTTAAATGCTCTTTCAAACTATATTAGGGTTTCCTATACCTATTTGGCTCAGATTTTGAATAAAAAGCAATTTTTCAATAAAATGGTAATCAAGATGACTGGTGTCACCATGGCAATTTGCTAGTGACAGTTAGTAGCTATTTACAAAATCGACATTAGTTTATTGACTTCATTTAAATTTATAACAGTTTACTTTTATTGAATTCACCTACCATGGTGTAATAAGTAAGTATTTATTATTTTATCAAGAAAAATAAAGAAGTAGTTCTTTGATTTATATAACGATGACTTGTAATTCATGGTAAATAAAAATAATTATATATTGGATTTTCTATAAAAGAACTAATCAAGGCAAATTCATTTTCTTCACTT